GGGAGGGAGGGCTCTGAGGACTCGCCTTAACTCCAGTGCGAGTTGGGGCCTGGCCTAGGCTGTCCTCGAGACATCTGGAGTAGCAGTCACTGTCCACGATAACTTCACTCAGGGTGACCACCCATCCTAGCTTCCCCAGGACCATGTCGGTTTCTGGAGTACGCACTCTCAGTTTCGAAGTGCCACTGTCCTGGGCAAACTGGGAGGAGATGGTCACCCTGTTCCTACTCTCCTTGACTTTTACCATTTCAGCACATGCCAGAACCTGCATCTGTTTGTCTTGGGGAAATGATCAGGCCCAGAGAGCATCCCTCTAGCAATGACAGGAGGGAGTTGGAGGATAGGCACCCTGACTCCCCCACCCTCATGTGGGATGACTCGAAGGTGTCTGTTGCATTCATTCTCCCTTCCGGCCTTCAGGACAGGTTTCTGTGGTTGAAGCCTCCTAGTTTTTGGTACTTTCTTATAGCAGCTCTGGCAAACTAATCCACCAAATGCCCCAACAATTCCTTTTTTAGTACAGTAAGTCCTCATGGAACGTTGTTGATAGGTTCTGTGACTTTAAGCGAAACAACGTATAAAGAAACCAATCTTACCATAGGCTAATTGATATAGAAACCGGTTAAGTTCATACGACATCTCATCAATGTTCTACTGAAACGATGCTGAGCAAATTGACATTGTTTGAGGACCTGCTGCATATCCCCAAAGCACTGGGAACAGGGACTCAGATGGATGCTTGTATGTCCTGGCTCACAGCAGCATGATTCGCAACAGTGAAAGGTGGAAAAAGCCTGATTTTTCCACCAACAGATGAATGGATAGATAAAATGGGGTCTATCTGCATAATAGAATCTTATTCATCCATAGATAGGAATAAAGTTCTGATGCGTAGTATGGCATGGAGGAACCTTGAAAACATTTGCTAACTAAAATAAGCAAGACACAAAAGGACAGATGTATTGTATGATTTCTCTTATATGAGATATCTATAATAAGGAAATCCATGGAGACAGTAAGTAATTAGAGGTTACCAGGGACTGGAATGGGGGGGAGGGAAAGGGGAGTTATTGCTTAATAGGTACACAGATCCTGTTTGGGGGCGATAAAAATGTTTTAGAAATAGTGATGGTTACACAGCAGTGTGAATGTAATTAATGCCACTGAATTGTACATTTAAATGGTTAAACTATATATCACAGATAGGTAGGTAGATGGATGATAGGGAGAATAAAAAAGTTATTCTTACTTGTTCTTGAAGTCACACTCACATAGGCCAAGGTGGACATCTCGGGCGTGGTCGCGGGGACAAAGGAACTTTCAGACAGTGTGCTGAAAGCGGCTGGAGTCTCCGCCACGGTGGGGCCTAATTTAGTGGTTGCAAGAGTTGTAGTGTTCAGCATGGTGGTTGGACTTGATCCTTCGTGGCTGGTTTTAGGTGCAGTCAAGGTCACAGTGCCCCCAGTCACAGTGCTGGAAAATTCTGGGAGTCCAACTGAGGTTGCAGGTGGCGAGGTTTGTGCGCCCCAGGAAGCCACAGTGTAAGGCTCACCCGTGGTTGCAGGGGCACTGGCAGGCTCAAGATCACCAGGGGAAACAGGCAGAGTTGGAATACCTGTACTGGCCTCTGATGCGGGGCTGGTGGCCAGTGAGCCTGCGGTCTCTGATAGACCGTGGAAAACAGCTGAAGTTGAAATAGTTGTGCTGAGGTCTGTCTCAGGTTGGGTGGATAGTGAGGCTGTGGTATCTGTTAAGTGAGGAAAAGCTGTTGAAGCAAAAAAATGTATGCTTGTCCCTGCACTGGGGTGGGTGACCAACACGGCTGTGGTCGCTGGTTCACCAGGAGTAAGAATCAGCGTTGGAATGGCTGTGCTGGCATCTGTCTCAGAAATAGTGATCTGTGAGGACACCTTATCTGGTACACCAGGAGAGACAGTCATAGTTGGCAGACCTGAACTGGCTTCTGTCCCAAAGTCGGTGGCCACTGAGGCTGTGGATTCTGATACACTCTGGGAAACACTGGGGGTTGTTTTGGGAACTGTTAGGCTGGTCTCTGCAGGATGGGTGACCAATAAGGCTGTTGTATCTGGCTCACCAGAGTAATCAGTCAGAGTTGGGACAACTGAACTGGCTTCTGCTCCATAATGGGTGGTCCATGAGGGTGTGGTCTCCAGTTGATCCGGGGAAATTGTCAGAGTTGGAAAAGTTGTGCTGGTCTCTGCCTCAGAACTAGTAGCCTGTGAGGTCACCACCCCTGGTACACCAGGTGAGAGAGTCCTAGCTGGAATGGCTGAACTGGATTCTGTCCCAGGACTAGTGGCTGCTGAGGGCATGGATTCTGATTCACTCTGGGAAACATTGGGGGTTGTTTGGGGGAAATTTGGGCTGGTGTTTGCAGGATTGGTGACCGAAGGGACTCTTGTATCTGGTTCAGCAGGGGAAACAGTCAGAGTTGGAACAGCTGAACTGGCTTCTGTCTCAAAATGGTTGGACCATAAGGCTGTGGTCTCTGGTTCATGTGAGAAATCAGTCATAGTTGGCAAACTTGTACTTGTTTCTGCTCCAGAACTAATAACCGGTGTGGTCACCACCCCTGATACATCGAGGGAGACAGTTGTAGTTGAAATGGCTGAACTGACTTCTGCCCTAGGACTGATGGCTGTTGAGGGTGTGCTCTCTGATCCACTATGGGAAAAATTTGGCGTTGTTTTGGAAACAGGTGTTCTGGTTCCCGTGGAGTGGATCCATGAGGCTGTTGTACCTGTCTCACCAGGGGAGACAGTTAAAGTTGGAACAATGGACCTGGCTTCTGTCCTAGAATGGGTAACCCATGAGTCTGTAGTCTCTGGTTCACTTGGGGAATCAGTCAGAGTTGGAAAAGTTATATTGGTCTCTGCCCCAGAAATGGTTGCCAGTGAGGTGACCAGCCCTGGCACAGTAGAGGAGACAGCTGGAGGTGGAATGGCTGAACTGGTCTTCACCCCAGGATGAGTAACCAGTGAGACTGTGGTTGCTGGTTCACCAGGAGAAAGAGTCAGACTTGGAATAGCTGTACTAGCATCTTCCTCAGAACTAGTGACCTGTGAAGTCATCATATCTGGTACACCAGGAGAGATAGTCATAGCTGGCAGAGCTGAACTGGCTTCTGTCCCAAGGCTGGTGACCAGTGAGGGAGTGCTGTCTAACACACTGTGGGAAAAGTTGGGCATTGTCTTGGACACTGTTGGGCTGGTCTCTGCAGGATGGGTGACCAATAAAACTGTTGTATCTGGCTCACCAGAGTAATCAGTCAGAGTTGGGATAGCTGAACTGGCTTCTGCCCCATAATGGATGGTCCATGAGGGTGTGGTCTCCAGTTGATCTGGGGAAATTGTCAAAATTGGAAAAGTTGTGCTGGTCTTTGCCTCAGAATTAGTAGCCTGTAAGGTCACCACCCCTGGTACACCAGGTGAGAGAGTCCTAGCTGGAATGGCTGAACTGGATTCTGCCCCAGGACTGGTGGCTATCGAGATTGTGCTATATAATTCACTATGGGAAGCATTGAAAATTGTTTGGGAAACAATTGGGCTGGTGTCTGAAGGATGGGTGACCATGGAAACTGTTGTATCTGACTCACCAGGAGACACAGTCGGAGTTGGAACAGCTGATCTTGCTTCTGTTTCAAACTGGGTGACCCATGAGGCTGTGGTCTCCAGATGAACTTGGGAATCAGTCAGAGTTGGAAAAGTTGTATTGGTCTCTGCCCCAGAAATGGTGACCAGTGAGGTGACCGGCCCTGGCACAGCAGAGGAGACAGCTGGAGGTGGAATGGCTGAACTGGTCTGCACCCCAGGATGAGTAACCAATGGGGCTGTGGTTGCTGGCTTACCAGGAGAAAGAGTCAGACTTGGAATAGCTGTACTGGCATCTGTCTCAGAAATAGTGACCTGTGAGGTGACCTTATCTGGTACACCAGGGGATATAGGTATATTTGGCTGAGCTGAACTGGCTTCTGTCCCAAGGCTGGTGACCGATGAGGGTGTGCTGTCTAACGCTCTATGGGAAGCATTGGGAGTTGTCCTGGGAACAGTTGGGCTGGACTCTGCAGGACGGGTGACCAAGGAGACCTTTGTGTCTGATTCATGCAGGGGCTCAGTCAGGGTTGAAAAGGTTGTACTGGTTCCTGTTCCAGAACTAGTGAGCAGGGAGGTCACTGTAGCCTGTACATCAAGTGAGATAGTCTTTGTTGGAATGGCTGAACTGACTCCTGCCCCAGGACTGGTGGCTGCTGAAGTTGGGGTGTCTAATTCACTATGGGAAAAATTCAGAGTTTCTCTGGAAACAGGGGTGCTAGTCTTTGGGGAATGGACCCAGGAGGCTGTTGTATCTGGCTTAAGAGGAGAGACAGACATAGTTGGAACAATGGAACTGGCTTCTGCCTCAGGATGGGTGACCCATGAGGCTGTTGTCTCTGGCTCATGTAGGGAATCAGTCAGAGTTGGGAAAATTGTACTAGTCCCTTCCCTAGAACTGGTGGCCTGTGAGATTTCCACCCCTGATACACCAGGGGAAGAAGTCAGAGTTGAAGTGATTGAACTAGTCTGTGCCCCAGGATGGGTAACCAATGAGACTGTCGTGTCTGGCTCACCAGGGGACTCAGTTAGAGTCTGAAGAGCTGGGCTGTTCTCTGCTCCAGAACTAGTATCCAGTGATGTCACCAACTCGGGCATACTAGAGGAGACAGCTGAAGTTGCAATGGATGAACTGCTCTGTGCTGTAACCCATGAAGCTGTAGTCTCTGGTTCATCTGTAGTATCATTCAGAGTTGGAATAAACATACTTGTCTCTGTCCCAGGACTGGTGACCAGTGAGGTCACCATCCCCAGTGCACTAGGTGACACAGTCAAAGTTGAAACAGATAAACTGACTTCCTCCGCAGAACTGGTAGCCGTTGCAGCTGCGACATCTGATTCACTATGGGAAGCATTAAGAGTTGTCCTGGAAACAGCTGAGCTGGTCTCCACAGGATGGGTGACCCATGAGGTTGTGGCCTCTGGCTCGCCAAAGGAAATAGTCAGAGTTGGAACAGCGGTACTGGTCTCTGCCCCAGAGCTAAAGACCAGCGCAGGTATGGTTGCTGATCTACTGAACATGGATGGGGTTGTCCTGGAAACTGCTGTGCTGGTCTCTGCTCTAGGTCTGGTGGTCCAGGAGGCTGTCGTCTCCAGAACATGTGGGGAAACATCCGGGGTTGTGATGATCACTCCT